CGTCAAAGGCTGGGGTGAACCGGGTTACACGACCGCCGGGGTGCCGGCTGATGTGTTCTTGCAATTTGACAGCTGAATCAAGTCGTAACGCTGACCCGCTGCTACAGATACCCAATAAACAGACACCAGGTGCAAAGATAGCCACTGGGAAACTCTGGGTGGCAAAACTGCACCGCCTTACTGCTGGGGCGCCGCTCTCAGAAATAAAATAAACATTTAATAGCAGAAACCTTTCCAAAAGTCAGCGTTTCTTTCATGCACCTTTTCAAGAAAAATGTCTGGGGGAAAACCCCTTCCTTTGGAGTATTCTCTACGACTTCCCAAAGTTTCTTGGCGATTGGATGAAAACCAAAAACTTAAGCTTTAGTAACGCCATATTGATTAAAGACTAATTAGATCAACAAATGGAATGTCATTAAGGTAAGAAAAACATTTTAAAATGTTGGACTCAGCAGGTTGTGAAAACACTGTCCATGGTTATTTTTTTTTAAATGGCTCAGTTTTTATCATGGGTGTTTAGTAAGATGGAATTTAGTGGAGGGCAGACAGTTGGGAGGGAGATGCAGGTATGTGGGGAGTGGTATGGAATTTTACAGTTATTTGAGGTTTGCAGCGATGCATGTAAATGAGCTGCTGCTGAATGCCCATCTCAAAGTTCAAGTTTATTTATAGGCTAAATCTCTCAATGGCTTGCACGACCATGCGGCAACGCCTGTAGTGATATTACGGATGGGTCCTGTTTGACCCCTCCCCCCCCCCCCCCAACTGAATCCAACTGCTTGTAAAGTAATGTAAAGTTAGAAAGGACTGTGTGCCTTTTTGGAACTTTTCATTATTTCTACAATAGAAAAGAAACTGGATTTTCATTTTTTAAATTATTTACATTAAACAAATATTAAAATTCCGATGTAAAAGTTTTAATCTTTTTAAAGAGGGAAAAGGGCCCCTTAAGTGCCCTGGGCCCCTATGCATTGCTTATGCTAGCTTTACGGTTGCTACGCCACTGATTTACGCCATATTTATTAGTTACCTTATCCCTACATTACTAGCGACGGCCGAATTGATTACGCTAAAACGATAGATTACCGATCTAGTCTCGGTCGATTTTACGTAGGCCCTACCTAAAACTAAAACGATAGATTACCATCACTGACAGTTAATGTCATAATCTAGCAAGAACAGCCAGAAAAACACAAAGAGAATTTAATTTTCACTCTAGGCCTAGAATTTAGATCTAGATTCTAGAGATCTAGATCTAGATTCTAGATCCGAAATCTAGTTCTAGAATCTAGTTCTAGATCTCTAAATTATAAATCTATTCTAGATCTAGATCTATATTAGAATCTATATAGATTCTAGATCAAGAGATATTTACTTACATACAAAAGCAATAGGTTTACTAGACATTAGTCATTAGTATACAAGCTTTGAAGCTAGATCTATTATTCAGGCAGCCCTGGTCTTTTCTTTTTTTTTTTTTTTTTGGCGCGGAATTCTTGAATTCTATGATTAACTACATAACTAGGGCCTATGATTCTATTTTTAGATCAAGTTCTACTAAGCTGGCCAGCCGATCCTACTTGATTCTCAACGACACTGAGTCTCTCATCGACTGTGTCGGTATAGAGTAAGGCTATACAATTTTCGAGGGTTAGGGTTAGGGCTAGGGTTAGGTATAGGATTAGGGATAGGGTTAAGGATAGGATTAGGGTTGGTATTAGGGTTCTGCGGTTGTAAACACACGCATGCGCAGTACCATCGAAAACATCGCCGCTAAGGCAAGTCGTAGTTTCTCTCCATTGCGCATGCGTATCGCATGCGTATCTTATTCCGACTAGAATCGGCCATACATTTTTTCTCATTTGATTCTGTCGTTGAGACTCTAATTATAAACTGTACATACTAGTTAACGGAATAAAACCATTTCGATTAATTAATCGCTTAAAAAATTTAATGTAAGACAAATTAAACAACCATTTATTTTACAGAGCTATTAGTCATTAACATTAATATTATAAAAATGTATCTTCTCAGGGGCGGAACTACCATACCGCCAGACCCGGGGGGGGGGGGGGGGGGGGGCAGGCCGTTTAGAGGCCCAAAATCCGACCAACAATCAATGACTTTGTATTCCTAAATTACGTTTTCGTGCACCTTAATAATGGTTTTGTAAAAAAAAAAAAAAACTTCTACAGTAGTGATTTTCTACAGTAGCTAACACACGCAGTAGCGTGCAGAGCCATGTAGATGCCCGGGGCAAACCCAAGGGAAGATGCCCCCATAAATTATATATATATATATATATATATATATATATATATATATATATATATATATATATATATATATATATATATATATATATATATATAATATCATACGGTGTTAAAAGTGTTAGTAGCCCTACAATTGACGATAAATTATAACAAACATTATGTTATTAAACAGAATACAAATAGAAAAGCATTTTTAAAAATTGACTTAGCTAAACTTGAGAAGACTCCATGCGAATATATCCAAAGAAATGACTGACTCAATAAATATTATACTGGATGGAATTTCGGGGAGCGGATGTTGGGGTGGGGTGGGGAGAAAGGGGCTATATGCCAAGCCCAACAAAAGAGTTTCCAGTTTCCATTACCCTACCGGGTCGGGCTGCGGTCACAGTTGAATTAAATTGAAAAAAAAAAACTAAAAGGTCAAAGGTCGCCATTGTTTATTGCTACAACTGAGGCCACGGTTGATGTTAGACCTAGTGAATTCGCTCTCTCTCTCTCTCTCCCCCCCCCCCCCCAGCTGAACTTGAACAATGCTGTATTTTAAAGGAAGACATTAGTGTCACACCTTATGTGTCGCCTGATGATTGTTTTACCTGAGGTGGTTGGCGATGGGTCCACTGAGTGAGCCCTCCCCCCTCCGCCTCCACACCCGTGTACCTGGTATGTATATTTGGGAAAAAGACGTAATTTGATACCCTATTGTATTCGGACCAGTTTTTTTTTTGGATGCCTGTACGGACCTTAGAAATGCTAGTCTTGTCTCGTACGTCGAAGTAGGCGGATACGTAGGAATAAAGCGTCTCGTCTAACTCGATACATTGAGAAAATATCGATACTAGTCATAGAGAACAACGATTTCTACTTGTGCGCTTTGTCGATCTTTAATATAATTTTGGAATCGCTAAAGACACAACAGACAAAGATATTTAGCTTGACTGCCAGCAGTACTCGAGAAATATGGCATAGAGATTGGTGAATGTCGAGACCAGAGATATAATAGTGGAGCTAATATGAAAGCAAAACAATATTATAATTATATCGTCGTCATATATTAATTCGCTTTGAGCAGAAGAAAAAATTCTACTTTTCCAAATTGGAAGAAAAGGTTACGACCAATTAGTCCCTAAATTCGTACTCTGCTTCCCTAGTTTGATACAGCCTCGCTGTACATGTTTAAGATAACGATGGTAAACTTGGGCTCCGCGCTATGGTCGGCTCTAGGCCCCGAGTATTCTTATGCCAGCCCTGTGTGGGAATTAATCCAGTAACGGCTACCAGGACCGTTATAACTACCACAATTCATTAAATCAACGTGGACTCACTTACTTTACAGATGGCTCTACTATTTATAACATCAGTTCTATTTAAGAGCCCATTTACTTTACAGATAGCTCTACTTTGCTTTAAAATACTTTTACACAACTTTTAGCATGCCCTACAATTCATAAAAAAATAATATGGGCACATTTGTTTGAAATGATATCACTACAATGTATCTTAAAAAAATCTATTGATGCATATTCTTGAGGGTGTCCTTACAGTGTCTCAGAAACAATACGAACATTCTTATTCTTTAGTATATTTATATGCATAAAACCGAATAAATTCTCTAGGGTGCCCCTACAATTTATAAAAAAAATAATACGGGCTTACTTCATCTGCAAATGCCCTTAAATTTATTTTACAAAAAATTCCCCCCAAAAATTTTAAGGATGCCCTTAAAATGTATTATAATGAATATATTATACATAAATACTTTAAAGATGCCCCCAACAATAAAATAAATAAATAAAATAATGATGGGTATAGTTAATGTATGGATGCCCTTTAAATACAACAAACCAATATAAGCTTAATAACTTCAAAGATGCCCCTGCAGTCTGCAGTGTATAAATATAAATATATGGATATAATAATTATTACTCTAAGGTTCTCATTAAAAAGTAGTAAAACGAATATGGACAAAATTACTTTAAATACTTTAAAAAGATGCCCCCATCAGTGCCTAGGAATTAAATGGGCAAAAAGTATTCTAAATGATGCCCCCTAGACTATACAAAATAAATATCAGATACACACTTTAATATAAAGACTGCATTTATTAAAGAAACTTTAAAGCCCGCTTTTTCCATAAAAGTTGTGCTATACAGATATAATGTCATAACGAATGATAGACGATTGAGAATGACAATGTGTTTTTTGGGTGGGGTTGGTAAAAAAATGAAATCAGTCAGCAATTGTTGTTGAGGCAGATGAATACGTATTATGACTCAAAGACACAATTTCCAAAAAAAAAAAAAAAAAAAAAAAATTAAATTCACTCCATCGGATGCCCCCTCAAAGTGGATGCCCGGGGCCTGGGCCCCGTCCGCCCCCCCCCCCCCTCTGCACGCCACTGAACACACGCTGTTGCGTAAAAGAAAATCAAAAGTGACACACAGGTTTGCAAAACAGACTAATTTACTTAAACAAATGACTTGTTGTAATTTTTTTGAATTGAAAATAAAAGTATTATACGTTTTTTTAAACAATTTGAAGGAAATACGCGTGTTGTTTATTTTGTCACCCTGAAAAATTGCAACAGGAAAAAAAACCAGGTCAATTCTATTTTGGTTTCTAGGCTAAAATACGCATGCGCATTTAAATGTACTTGACACGCAATCGATCTTTTACGCATGCGCTAATATTCACGCATGCGCAAATGCATGTAAAGAAGGTAGTCGCTGAAGGCAACAGCCATTTTTAGGCTTTGTGGGCACTTACAAAAATTCATATAGATCTAGATCTACAGTCCTAGCTCTAGTCGACGTTTGTTTGTCTTACCTGAATACTTTAAAATGGTAAATAACTCTAATATAAAAGTATGACAACACTTTTATAAATACGAGAGAAAGATTTGAATTTAGTTTAGTAATCGGCCGACGCTAGTTAGTAGTTACTTACTAGATTCTAGATCTAGTTACTAGATCTAGATCTAGATTCTAGTTAGGCTAGGCAAATAAGGGAAGGAGGTGGTGATCTAGATCTAGAATCTAGACTAGATCTATCTATTATCTTGACTCCTAGATCTAAAATGGTGCTAGATATCGTTTTTGTTGTACGCCAAATGCCAAATGGACACAAGCGAGAAAAGTCTCAAAGGTATTTGAGAGGTGTATAAATTAATTTAAAATTCTTGCACGGCGTAGTTAAAATTAATATGGTTATAAAATCCTGGGTAAAATCTTAGTTTAGCGTCGTAAATTCCAACGTAGCTAGTAATGTGCGATGAAGGTAACTAATTAATATTTCTTTCATTTGGCCATATTTATGTCATATTTTACATAATATAACAGATAATTGAATAACAAATCACAATCCAAGACCAAACCAGTCATAAATATCCTGGAATAAACTTTAAACTACCCCGTTCGAGACAACAATGAGTAAACACAAGAGCGGCCATGTTTCATAAACAATAATAGAGTAGTTTTCCTTGAAAAATTGTCTATTCGCATGTCTTTTGTGTTGATTTTGTGGTTTAATGTGATTGTTTTGTATTGTTTTAATATATGCCTGGGGGTCGTCCATAAATGACGTCACACTCGTAGGGGGAGGGGGGTCCGTAATTTTGTGACGGTGTGTGATGAAGGCGAGGGGGGGGGGGGAGGGTTCAGATGGTGCGACGTCACACTTTTGCATTATAAAAACGAATTTTAGACGTTATTTTGCGTTTTAGAAAACTGTTTTAATACATTGCAATAACAATTGATTAAAATACTCTATTTTGACAGAGTTCAGACAAGATTTTGGAAAAGTATAGCTGTTTAAAAAAAAATTCAACTGCGATTTTGAGGGGGGTTGTAGGCTGAGGTATGACGTCATTTTAGGGGGGGTCTGGCTTTTTGTGACGTGTGACGGAGGGGATGGGGGGGAGGTAAAAATCGTCAAAAAAGCGTGACGTCATTTATGGATGACCCCCTGTATAGTAATTTTTCTTTTTTTTCAATATAGTTGACATGAATGACTAATAGACATTTTCAGACTTGATAGTGTGCATCCAAGACCACAACAATTGTTGGGAGGTCGAACTTTTGAACACTTTATTTGCAGTAAGCAAATCAATATTAGATCGCTCATAAATGACGTGGCTCTTAAGATAATAATGACAGCGTGCATTATTACAGAACAAACATATGAACATATTGTTTCAGATAGAAATTGTGATTTGTGGTGGGGAAAGGTTGAGTAGAACTCAGCGATGTGATTTTGGAGACGGGTCAGGTGATTTGTTCTCGTGAAAACAGGGGATGGTTGTGGGAGAAAGACCAGCTGTAGAAGTATGACGCGTCATTCATTGGTGATCCATTTTCTCAGTGGGGATGATAGAACTATTAAGAAGGGTCAAGAAATGTAAAAAGCTTGCTGAGTCGCATTTCTTGAACCCCACCTTTTTCATTCCCCCACTTAGCACATCGTCACCGAGTTAACGCTCGCACGTGACGTCATGTACCGGTACCGCCGACCGTTAGGCTAATTTTATAGAAAAAAAAACAACAAGCACTGCCGTTTTGACGCTTATGCGACGTTTAATTTGATACCAAAAATTGGTGTTCATTAAACAGCCCCTAACACATCTATCACTCGTCCATTTAAACGTACGTGGTTATTTCTGCAAGCTTGCTGTCTTGAGACTTTCGGCCCTTTAAAAATGTATTAAGCTCTCACCGTATAGAACTAGACTACCCATATAAGCTCCAAAAGAAGCTTGGTGAAAACAGGATGGCCGTCCGATTTGGAAGCTGCTCTGCGCTTTATAAAAAGCACAATAAACGATAAGATGACACTTATATTAAAGTAAATTATAGTTCTGAATCTTGATACATTAAAAGTGATATTAAGAGTGAAATTAAGAGCCAGACAGTCAACATGATATTTCAATTTAAGTCCAAGAAAATAAATTTCCTCAAACGATGGAACATTACTAAATTTTCGCGCAGTTTAGCGAAATTGAATTTAAGTTTTTACGTCATCTTACAAAGCGCGATAGCCTACTGGTGCTCTAACGCGGCCCATGCTAATGACCGTATTCCTAACGCCCCGCATTAGACGCGGCTTATTCGTCGGCAGGCATTTGGTGGCAAGCCTTTTTGACGGGGATAATGTGTTGAGGCTGTTTTGTCAAATGTCTTAAACTAGCAGGCTTGCAACATTTGTGCTGATTCGTTTTAAGCAAGGTATACGTATACTAATGCTTATTTATCGTTTTTTTTATTGAACAAAGCATTATAGAGGTTCTCCATCAACCACCTAGGTATTTTCCCCCGTTCACCTCCTTTCATAAGACCGACACGTCATAAATTGCGGAGCCACCTGAGTTGACGTCACAAATCTTCACTCACTCCTATAGCAAATCATATGTGACATCATTTATGGACAACCCCTTAGCACTCACTTGGGTACTTGTTATTGACAATTTGACAACAAAGAATGACCAAATGTGTCTGGCAGATGGAGACTTGCGATCAACCATAATGACAACACGCACTTAAGGGTTGGACTGGCTCATTGTTTTAGATAATGTTTTTTAGGACATGACGGAGGCTGGGGTTTAATTAAGGTAAAGAGAAGTAAAAAAAACGTCATAAGTTACGATAGAATCACTAATTGATGAAAAGAAAAACCTGAAATGAAAATAGTGAACATTCAAACAATAAGAAAAAACTCAAACTAGATCTATATAGTAATAGTAAGATCAAATATACAGTAAAAAAATCGTGATTTAATACATGGATACAACGCTTCTAGAATTAATAAAGTTGTTTGTTAGGAAATTCAGTTTTTAAAGAGCAGAATTAAAAAAAAAATGCTTTGTAATACGGACTATACAACAAAACAATCATATTTAAATACATTTTCATACGAATAGAAATGAAAGGGAAGCTACTCTAAAAAACATTTTCTTAAGATGGCTGCTGTTTTTAATAGCAAATTTACTATCTCGAACAGGGTTGATAAAAATTAATTTCAGGATATCTAAATTGATTTAACCATAAATGGTGATCTATTATTCAATTATTTATAATATTTTATCAAAATATATGAAAATATACTCATATTTAATGACATATTCATTAATTCACTCTCTCCTACATTACTAGTTTTGGCCGAATTTACGACGCTAAACTAAGATTTTACCAAATCCTGTCTGTCTGGTTTTTTTCGGACTTTACTAAAGATTGGACGTATTTGATGTTTTTAATATTTTCGGTAACTAAATAAAAATTAAAAAAAAAGCAAAAACAATTTGGTTTTCACGTGTAATGGCGACATAAACAATGGCATCCTGCTATTGGATAGGCCGACAAAAATTTTATTGTACACATTGTAAGCTAAAAATAGAAAACTAGGTCATGGGGTTTTTAACTTGCATTGTTATTTAAAAACTTGATCTGCAAAGTTTTGTAAACAAATAGAATCTAGTTATCGATCACTAAGTTACTGTACAGCCAATCAATATTTGTCTTACGAAAGTGAAACATCCGGTTATAACTTAGGCTTGATGAAAATAAATAGAAATGTAGCCTTAAACTCAACAAATTATTTTCTAGTTCTCTGGATTTGCAACTTTTATAGCATTTATTCTAAAAATATAAAATTTCTAAATTAATTTTAGGCTTAAGTTTTTATTTTTTATTTTTTTTTACGGTCTAAATCTAAAAAGCACGTTTTTATTCCATGACAACAACACTATGGAAGGAATCTCGTCAACTCGCTTGTCTCCATTGGCCGCGGCTAGATGTTAAAAAATGTTGCTTCAGGTAAAATCTTAGTTTAGCGTCGTAAATTCCAACATAGCTAGTCTAGTAATGTGCGATGAAGGTAACTAATGAATATTTCTTTCATCTGGACATATTATTTATGTCTTATTTTACATAATATAACAGGTAATTGAATAAAAAATCACAACCCATGACCAAACCAGTCATAAATATCCTGGAATAAACTTTAAACTACCCCGTTCGAGACAACAATGAGTAAATAGTAGGCCCTAAATACAAGCAGCGGCCATTTTCAAAAACAATAATAGTTTCCCTTGGAAAATTGTCTATTCGCATGTCTTTTGTATTGATTTTGTGGTTTTATATGATTGTTTTGTATTGTTTTAATATTTGCCTGTATAGTAATTTTTCTTTATTTTCAATATAGTTGACATGAATGACTAATAGACCTTTTCAGACTTAATAGTGTGCATCCAAGACCACAACAATTGTTGGGAAGTCGAACTTTTGAACACTATTTGCAGTAATCAAATCAACAATATTAGATCGCTCATAAATGACGTCGCTCTTAATTATAGTAATGACAGCGTGCATTATTACAGAACAAACATATGAACATATTGTTTTAGATAGAAATTGTGATTTGTGGTGGGGAGAGGTTGAGTAGAACTCAGCGATGTGATTTTGGAGACGGGTCAGGTTTTTTTTTTCTTCTGAAAACGGGATGGTTGTGGAAGAAACATCAGCTGTAGCGTAATTCATTGGCGATCCATTTTCTCAGTGGGGACGATAGAACTATTAAGAAGGGTCAAGAAATGTAAAAAGCTTGCCGTCGCATTTCTTGAACCCCACCTTTTTCATTCCCCCATTTAGTACATCGTTAACGCTCGCGCGTGACGTCATGTACGGGTACCGCCGACCGTTAGGCTAATTTTATAGAAAAAAAAACAAGCACTGCCGTTTTGACGGGGATAATGTGTTGAGGCCGTTTTGCCAAATGTCTTAAACTAGCAGGCTTGCAACATTTGTGATGATTCGTTTTGAGCAAGGTATACATATACTAATGCTTATTTATCGTT